CTGCGTCCCCCATGATGCCTCCTCACCGAGCAGATCGTCCTGCCTGGCCCCTCTGACCTCAGAAGGGCTCAGGGATAGGGACAGGAGGGACACCCCAGCTCTGACGGCAGGGAGCGCAAGGAGCGTGTGGCCGTCCCTGGGGGGATGAGTCACAGCAACACTGTGGTCAGTCGCCACCCCGCCCCCGCCCGGCACCTGTGTGTTGGGTTCACACACCACAGGATGGGGGTTGGAGGACAGTTACAGCATAAGTGTGCTCAGCAGCCCCCACCGCCCATCTCACTCAGAGAGGAAGCCCGAGTCCTGGCCTTGACCCACGAGGCCCCACTCCATCTGCCCCGTCACCTCTCTCTGTCCCCCTTGCTCACTCAGTGGCCCTCCAGACACCGGGCATGGTCCTGCCTCAGGGCCTTTGCATGAACTGTGCTCTCTGATAGGGGATGCTCTTCCCTGGGTACACGTAAGGCTCCCTGCCTCATCTGCTTCAACTCTGTGCAAACGTCCCTTTCTCGGCAAATCCTTCCTGATCTTCCTGCTCTGACTAGAACCCACTCGCTGCTACCTTTCCTAAGCCCTTCACCTCTTTTTTCTCTGTGAAATTCTTATCATGATTCTTCCTACTATACATTTTTCTCACTTGTTTGTTTTTTCTTCTTTAATCTGCCTCCCTCGCTAGACTGTCAGACCACGGAGACAGGAAACACCTCTGTTTTGTTTATTACTCTTTCACCAGGACCTGAAACATGAGGGTAGAAGACCATCTTTCCCGTGTGAGACTATCTTTATGATTTTCATGCATAGAAGGAATCTTACACCAGGCACAGTGGTACACCCTGAAGTCCAGAGGGTCACGAGTTCCAGGTCAGCCCCAGCAACGGATCAAGAACTTGTCTCAAAAAATAAAAAGGGCTTGGGATGGAACTTGGTGGTAAAGTACCCTAGGGTTCAATTTTCAGTACCACACACCAAAAAAAAAAATCTTTTTTTTAAATATCTTTATTTCATTTTTATGTGGTGCTGAGGATCGAACCTAGTGCCTCACGTGTGCTAGACGAACACTCTACCACTGAGCCACAAACCCAGCCCGCCCCAAAAAAATCTTAAACAAGAATGTTCAAACCATAAAGGAAAGATTGGTAAACTGGGTTACATCCAGTTTTCAAATTTTGGTACAACAGAACATGCTGTGAGTAAAGTAAAAGACAATTGGGTGAAAATCATGGGATGTTCCTGACAAAGGATGTGTATCTAGAATGTATAAAGAGCTCTGAGAAATCAATAAGGAAAAGATACAGAAGAGGCAATTTGTAGAGGAGATAAACCAGTAGCCAATGGATCTTGACAAAAAAAAAAAAAAATTCAACAGAGGAATGTAGATTAAATTATTTTACACCCAGTCGATGGGAAAAAGTCAAAAAGTCCGTTAAAACCAAGTGTTGAGTCAGGTGACGGCTCATGCCTGTAAACCCTGTGACTTGGGAGGCTGAGGTAGGAGATTTCCAAGTCTGAGGCCAACCCCAGTAACCTAGCTAGACCATCTCAAAATTAAAAGAGAAACCAAAGGCCAAATGTTCTCTCTGATATGTGGATGCTGATCGCAATAAAGGGCCAGGAAGGGAAGAAGAGAGGACCTTGGATGAGAAACAGGGGAATGAAGGGAAGGGAGAGGGAATCGGAAAAGGAAAGACAGCAGAAAGCATCGGGCTCGTGTGATCACAAGACCAAGGTGACTCCCCATCACCTACAGCCCAGAGAATGAGAAGCCCTACTCCAGGGATGCACAGATATGCTGCATTCTACCATCATGTATAACTAGTAAGAACAAATAAAAACAATCGCTTTAGGTGTGGTTCAGTGGTAAAGTACCCCTGGGCTTAATCCCCAGTACAAAAAAAAAAAACAGTGTTGGCAGTGAACTTCAAACCGGGCACATCTTTCATTGATGAAGTTTGACCGGAACGGGGTCATGGCCGTCTGCTTACATATTGTCTGGCCGCTCTCATGCTACAAAAGCAGAAAGGAGCAGCTGAACAGAGCCTCCAAGTCAAAAGCATGACCCTGTGGCCCCCGACAGGAAATGCCCTGCCAACCACTGCTCTGGATTAAGGCTTCTCAGACCTCAGTGGGCACGTGGATCACCTGCAGGTCTTTAATGGAAAAGCTCCTTCCGGCTGAGCCATCCTGGGAGGGGCTGAGATTCTGCAAGTCTAATGACCCCCTGGGCAATGCGGATGCCCCTGGCCCACGGACTCCCATTGGAATAGGAAGAATCTAGATAACACGGGGCGGCAGGACGTGTCTGTGAATCCCTCTAGACAAGGAAGGAATGTGGTCACGTAGTCCACTCGTTTTGTCTCTGCCCCCAGAAATCACAAATGCGCGCAGTCAGAGACTATCCCTTAACATTTACTGCACATTCTACATGAGCCAGAAACAACCCAAGCAGAAAGGTAACTCTGGGTTCATATCCAAGGAGATCTGGCCAGCCCAGAAGGATGAGTAGAAGAGGAAAGGGAACGTGTGCTTGTGTGATGTCCTAAAGTTCAGTCCCCAAGTCGATCATGAATCTGACAGACATAACCTCAGGGTGGGAAGTCACTGCAGGCTTCTCACAACACAGCTTCCAGGAGGCCACATGGAGAGTTACCAGCTGTCCAATGGCTCTGGAAGGGCAGAGCTACACTGGGATCCCTGGGCTCAGCACACAAGAAGAGAAATCAATGCATCTTGAATGAATGTTCTAGACATTTGTGAGAGTTTTCTCTTTCCACGAACTCTCAATCCAAGTCACTATTTCTCCCTTTCAGTTTCTGTTTGACATCTCAAAAAGATATTTGTTGAAAATACATATATGTTAAATGAATAGCTGATTCATATTTAGTTTCAAGAGCCATCGTATTTAAAGAGCATTGACAAAAAATAAGAGTCAGGCCTAGGGTGAAAAGAAGGAATTTCAAAGAATAAAAGATCATTTCTCCTAAAACAGCCTACTCTGGGTCAGGGAACATGAGAGCATACCACAAAGCAAAGGAAGAGAGAGGAGCTAACATGTATTGAAGGCCCACTGGGTGCCAGGATGTATGTGAAATTCTGTGTCCAGAATACAGGAGATCTAGAACTCTCAAGCCATCTGAGCTAAGTGTGGTCTCCACTTTAGAGAGGAGAAACTGAGGTCTTCTTCCCCGATGCCAGTCATCTCCAAGCAGAGAGGGGGAGAAAAGAGAGGGTCTAAGTGGCCCCTGTATTAAAAACAGCATCAGAATGGAGGCTTGCAAGAAGCAGGATTTAGCTCAAGAGAAGGAATAGTGAAGTAGTTTAGAGGAAGAGAGTTCTCCATCACTAGAGGCACTCGAGTTGAGACTGAATGACCACTCACCAAGACTCCAGGGCCCCTTCTGATTTGCTTTCCGTAGGTCTTTCTCTGGGCTTTCCCAAGTGGCACCTCCCTCACTCCAATCTACCCTCTTCCAGCTGTGGTCAGTGGCTGGGCCATGCCTTCCCATTTCCCCGGGTCACTCTTAGGAGAGGGGAATCTCCAGCCCAGATCCAAGACCGGGGACACAGCAGGGCACTGGGTCCCCACCCCACCCTCCACCGGTAGTGCAGGTCCTCAGAGCACAGGGCCTGGCAGGGTCCCCCAGCCAACCACTGGAGCCCTGACCAGCAGAACAGGGGCCTGGCCAGTTCTGCATGCTCTGCCTGCCGGAGGGCCCCGCCCCGTTCTGGCTCCGGAAAAGAATGAGGGGAGGCAGAGGACGGGCCTGGGACGCAGGGGTCCCAGCCCTGCTGGAGTGGAGCAGGCCCCTGGCCCACAGGGTGACAGTGACCACCGGCTGTGTTGGCGAGAGGGGGGCACCCTGCTCATCCCTGCCCTGAACACGATCATGGCCGCCAGACACCCAGGGGCTGAGGACCAGCCGGGCCCCACAGCTGGGATTTACTCCTGAGGCTGGAGGACCCTGCTGGCTGGGGACCTCAGAGCTCAGCGTAGCACCTGGGCCTAGGAGCCTCCTGCCCCACAGCCCTCCCAGCAATGGGAGCCGTGGTCACTTTACTCAGAATGTAAAAAAATCTCAAAAAAAAAAAAAATATATATATATATATATATATATATAGATATATAGATATCTGTATATATATATATATATATCTCCTGAGTAAAAGCAGAGAGGGGGCTCTGGGCAGCTCCGGGGTCTGGGCCTGGGGTCCCTCCCTGCAGAGTGGCTCCGTTTTCCATCCAGCTGCAGTGTGTCCACCTGGTCCCTGGGGAGCAGCTGAGGAGAGTTTGTTGACCTGTCCCCACAGCTCAGGACCCTGACCCAAGACACAGAGGAAGCCACGCAGATGGACACAGCTGAATTCCAAAGGAGCCCCGAGCAAGCCCCCGAGAGCCCCCGAGAGGTGAGGACTGGAACCCCTGAGACATGATTGCTATCATGGGGCCCTTGGTAGGTCCCTCCCCAGAGCACCAGGCCATCCCCAGAAGAGGAATCAAGGCCACCCTGGAGAGGGACACAGAGGAAGGATCTAAGGTCACCAGTGGGTGGAAGCAGGGACCAGGGAATCGTCAGTAAATGAGGGAATGAATGAAGCCCGTGAATGGGGACTCATGAGCAGCTGAGGAGGGGTGAGGGGCAGTGGAAAGAGGCGGACAGGGAAGGACAGATGGGGGCAGGACGGCGGGTGGGCGGAGGATGACTACAGGGATGGGGGGTGGGGGGTGGAGGAGGGGAAGGAACAGCCCAGAGCCCAGGTTTAGGGTGGGGCAGTCGCTGGACACCAGGATGGGCCTTGTGCCTCCACTGAGGGCCTGCTCTGGACCCTGAGAAGGGGGACCGTCCCAGCCAGGAACCGCCCCCTCCCCACAGGCCTTGCCAGCTCTGGGAGCTCATTATGGCCAAGCCACTCGCCCCTGGACAAACCCTGCCCCATGCCAACGGCCGGGCTGAAGGCCTGAACTCACGGAGGAGGCCCTGAGAGAGGCCCGGCCACTCCCAGCCTCAGAACAGCCCGCCCAAGGCCTGGGATTTGATGCGCACTTTGTGGGGCAGCGAGGGCTGAGCCAGACCCTCGGGACCGTTCCCTGGGACCGGGCAGGTCACGGTGGCAGAAAGCCCCGAGGGGTCTGCAGAGGGTGTCAGCAACAAATCTGACGGCCCTGGGGCGCGGCATCCAGGGGACATGGGTGACCACAGTCCCCAGCAAGACTTGAGCTCTGGTCTGGACCCCACATGCCCCTCCAAGAGGTGACACCGGAAGAGGGCAGCGGGGAGGGCAGCCCGCAAGGCCACGTCAATGTTCTCGGGGGCCAGGGAAGCAGAGTCCTGCGAGAACCTGGAAGAGGAGGCCAGGCCGGCCCACCCCTGGGCCATCAGGCAGCCCTGGCACCCTGGGATCCCAGCATCCAGGGAATATGGCCCCCGGAGGCCGCCCTGGGAGCCAGCCAGACACGAGAGTGGTTGGGCGGCACGGTGGGGCGCCCCCGTCCAGGGAGACTCCCACAGCAGGGCCTGCAGCGGCGCCGTCCGGGGTCCCCCCGAGGGAGGCAGGAGGCCGAAGCGCAGCCTGAGCGCCCGCAGCTCGGCCCGCAGCAGCGCGTTCTCCTCCAGCAGCGCGGCCAGCCTGCTCTCCACCGCCACGTCGTTGAGACGCCGCTTCTCCCGGGATCTCTTGGCCGCCTCGTTGTTCTTCCGCCGCTTCTCCCAGTAGACAGTGTCCTTCTTCTCCTCCGGCATGAACTCCCTCTGCCTTCGCACGGCTGGGCCCCTGCCCCGGCCAACCCACAGAGTCTGGCTGGGACCTTGAGATATGTCTGGCAGGCCCAGCGCGTCCATGTCCATGGCCACAGGGGGGACCTGGGAAAGAGGAAAGAGGTCTTGGACTGAACACAGGGGGTTGACCCAGATGACCTCTCCCTTTAATTTATCCTGAGTCCCCGCCATCACCGGTGGAGGGGACAGCTGGAATGGGGATTAGGTTGGAGACCAGGGTGGAGACAGAGAGATGGTGGACAGTAAGGGGAGCTGGTGGGTGGCTTGAGGGAGGAAGCACTTAGTAGGGCCTCCAGGTGGAGGCCACTTGGCCAGAAGAGGCTTAAGAGCCTCCCACAGTCATCCTGGAGAGCCAGTCAGGAGGACAGAGGCTGCTCCCCGGGCATTCTCCTTACCACTGAGAAGGTCAGAAAACAAGCCAAGGGCTCAGTTTAATCTGAGATCCAGGGTAAAGTTCTTGGAGACCCAAGGAGGACAGAAGGGAGGCTGAACCTAGAAAGAGAGAATGTGTGACCATGCAGTTAAACGGGCCAAGCCGGGGTCAGAAGACAAGCTGCTATTCACCTGAACAGTGCCCAGATTGCACCACAAAATCTCCCCCACCTGTGGCTGGAATTCTGATGGACCCAAGGCATGAATAATTGGACTGATGGAAAAATACCTAATAATGGCACAGTTTTTTTTTTAATTTTCTATCAGTGAATGAATGACAGTTGGATGGTGCCTTAGTCCACTTTCTGTTGCTAAATCCAAATGCCTCAGATTGTAGGATAATTAGTAAAGAATATAAATTTATTTAGCTCATTGTTCTGGAGGCTTGGCACCTGCTAGCGGCCTCCCTGCTCCATCATAACATGGTGGAAGGCATCACGTGACAGAGCAAGGGTGCCACAGAGGGCCCACCTGCATAGCCAAGCCTCTCCCTCCATTGACCATTCATCTGTTAATCAATGAATGCGTGCGCTACTTGTGCAGGAGGAGTCCTCGTGACTCAGTCACTTCCCAAAGCACCCCCCCCAATACTGTTAACATATGGATTGAGGGATTAAGTTCCAAGCCCATGAAATTTGAGGAGAACCTTCAAACCATAGCAGATTGATGGAGGGTGAGCAAGTGGTAGATGCACTGAGTGTACAATGGGCATGGGAGGTGGATGGTGTTTGAGAGTGGACAGGTGACACATAAGATGGAATGATGGATGGTGAGCTAGTGGGGGAGTGGACAGAGGGGCAGACAAGGGAAAAGTTTAGTGAGTGGATGGTGACTGGATGGGTGGATGGATAAATGGATGGATGAATGCATGGCTGGCTGGATGGATGGGTGGAAGGGTGGATGGAAGGGTGGATGGATGGAATAGATGGGTGGGTGAATGAGTAGATGGAGATGAATGGATGGGTTGGAGATGGATGGATATATAGAGATGGGTGGATGAAAGGATAAGTGAATGAGATGGATGGTAGATGGACATAAATAGATGGATGTGAATAGAAGGATGGATGGATGGATGGAGATGAGTAGAAGAAGGAAGGAAGGAAGGAAGGAAATGGATAAATGGACTGGTTGGAGATGGATAGGTGGATAGAGATGGGTGAATGGATAGATGGACAGAAATGGATGGATGCATGCATGAATGGGTGGAAGGGTGGATGGATGGACATAGATGGGTGGGTGGGTAGATGGAGATGGATGAATGGATTGGAGATGGATGGAGATAGGGGATAGAAGGATGGATGGATTGATGAAGATGGATGGATGAAGATGAGTAGATGGAAGGAAGGATGGATGGATGGGTGGGTGGGTGGGTAGATGGATGGATGGATGAAAGGATGAGTGAATGGAAATAGATGGGTGGATGGACATGAATAGACGGACAGAGATGGAAGGATGAATGGATGGAGATGGATGGGTAGATGGAGATGGATAGATGAACTGGAGATGGATAGATGAATAGGTTGGGGGTAGATGGATGGAGATGGATGGATGGATAGGCAGATGTCGTTTTTTTTTTTTTTTTTTTTTTTTTTTTTTTGTCCACCATTTTATCCTTGGTACTTAACATTGTGTTTGTAAATAGTAGGTGGTAAATTCACTAATTGTTGAGTAAATGAATCAATGATGAAAACAACCTGTTCACAGATGGAGAGTGTTTGGCCTTCCTACTGAACTCCAGCCAAAAAAAAATGAAACCCACCACATTGCCCTGTTTGCTTTGGCCACCAAGAAACTCAGCACTCAGTTTTAAGATAAATGGTGGTAGCTTTTGCTGGACGCAGTGGCTCATACCTGTAATCCCAGCAATTCAGGAGTCTGAGGCAGGAGGATCACAAGTTTGAAGCAGCCTCAGCAACTTCATGAGGCCCTATCTCAAAAATAAAAGGGCTGGGGATGTAGCTCAGTGGTAGAGTGCCCCTGGGTTTCAATCCCCAGTACCCCTCCCCCAAAAAATGGTATCAGCTTGAATCAGGAGCGCGTATTTTCCTTCTCCTCCAAGGTTTTTTCTTGAATTAAGTCTTTTCCTCTGTGCTACCAGCTCTTGACCTTAGTGTCTGTGGCTGCATAAGATAATTCAGGTCATGTTGGAAAGGGGTGAAGGCATACACAGTCAAATCACACCACTCCAGGGACCAGGATCCTAAGTCCACATTCTAAGGGCGCTCTGCTCCAAAATATGAAAAATAAATAAACAGAGATATTTCAAAAATTCTGCATGACTTATTCCTTAAAGGAGAATCACAAAATACACTAAAGGCTCAGAGAGGTCCTGCAAAAGTAAGTTTTAGTTTTGTTTGACTTACGTGTTCTCCCACGTACTTGTCTGTGATATGTTTATGCTTCACCAAACACTTTGGGATATAAGGATTTTTTTTTTTTGCAATGAACCAATAAATGCACAGATTTTTTTAAATGAACCATTAAGCATGATTTTTCAATGAACCACTAACTACATTAGCGTTTTTGGAATGAACCATTAAATGTACAAATATTTTTAATAAATCAATAAATGCAAGAATATTTGAATAAGGAAGCATCAGCAGATGAATAAGTGGTCGCGAGGAAGCAGCCCTGAAGGGCAGGCACCATGACAGAGGGGTACAATGAGACTGAACGGCTCCTCTCTCCCCCACGTGGCTGGCCTGGGACATCCACTGCCCAGATGGCTCATCCGAGTTCCCAGCTGGACAAACCCCAGACACAGCACCCTCTGCCACCAGCCTGTCCTGTCCTGGGGACTTCAGAGGAGATCCCCACAATCGTCCCAACTTCAAGTGATGCTGACCACAGCCCAGGAACTGATGAGCACCTGGGGAGGGGTCAAGGCCATCCCTAGGTTCTGAAGACGCCATCCTGAGGTGGCCGGAACACAGCTGGGTTGGAAAGGAGAGCGGGGACAACCAGGGGTCCTCAAAAGCCACACCAACCAGCTGGACCACGTGGCCCAGTCCTCCGGCTTTTCTGTACACCCCCCGGGATCCCTGCAGCACCGTGCGTTCACAGTGGTCAAGACACAGAGCCGACCGAGTGTCCATCGACAGACAAATGGATAAAGGAAATGTGGTCTCGATGCATGAGGAGAGCTATTCAGTCACCAAAAATGGGATGAGATCCTGTCACTAGGGAAACATGGATGAACCTGGGGACGTGACGCTGAGTGAAACAAGCCAGGCACCGAAAGCAAGAACTTCCTGTTCCCACTCATAGCAGAAGGGAGCGGACAGTGGCCACTAGGAAGTGGGCAGGGTGAGGGAGAAGCGTATGAAGGCCACACACACACACACACACACACACACACACACACAATGATAAGGAGATGTTGGTTTTGTTGGTTTTGTTCTTTTTGGGGGTGCTGGGAACGGAACGCAGGGCCTGTGCGTGCGAGGCAGGCCCTCTACCAGCTGAGCTACACCCCCAGCCCCATGATAAGGCCATGGAAATGCTCATTACCCTGATTTGATTGTCACAGATTTTATACATGGATTGATTGTCACACTGTACCCCATACCCAACAGAAATCATTATGTGTCACTTAGAAAGAAAAAAAAACATAGTTTCTAAAACCCAAGCCAGAGCCAGCAGATGCCCAAGGAAGAAGATCCAGCATAGGTAGGTGGTCAGATAAAGGGCAGGACAGGCTGAGCGCTCTGGGGCGGACGCTGTCATGCAAAGCCCGTGAGGTGGAGGGTGGCTCCTTTTCACTGTGGCACTCCGTGCCAGAGTCCGTCCTCACTGTGGCTTGGTCTGAGTCCCCCAACCGCTGTTTCCCTACACCTCTGCTGGGACCAGATGGGGCAGCAGATAGCTTCAAGGCCTGGGTTTATTTAGAGAAGAGGCAGTGAGGGCCAGGCCTTCCTGTGGTCACGGAGGAAGCGCTAAGGAGGGGGTGAGCAGAGCCACCCCTTGAAGCGGCCAGAGGGTGAGGAAACAGGAAAGTGGCCTCCCTCACAGAGGCCCCGCCAGCTCCACCCTAGTCCTCCTCGGCCTCCCTGACCGGTGGGCATTCAGCTCTGCTCCCTACCGTGACAGGAATGCAAGCATCTCTGCCACCTGCTGATTTCCTTTCCTTTGGGTGAACACCCAGCCGAGGACTTGCGATGACATCTGCTGTTCCATGACCATGCTCCCTGTCCCCACTCCAGCCTGCTGTCCTCCAAAAAAGGGCACATTTATTGAGCTAGGCATGTGCAATGTCTCATTTGTCACTCATGCCACCCAGGAGGACAGTATAGTGTGGTCCTTATCCTGGTGTGACAGGTGAGGAACCAGGCGCTGAGCAACCCGCCCAAGCGAGCACCCGCAGGCTCCGGCGCCGTCTCCCCTGCCATGCCAGGTGGATACACCTCGTCCACTGAAGACGTGGTCTTGAGTCCAGTAGCACCTCTAAAGGGTAGAGGTCGGAGTCCACGAGGAGAAGAGAGTCCAGAGACCACAGAGCTGAGATGGACACCCAGCTGTCCAGAGGCAATGTGGGGGGAAGAGGAGCACCTGCTCTGGGTAGAGATCAACATACACAAATCAATCGCTTCCTTACACTCTGATAATGAATTGCTAAAAAATAAATTAGGGAAGCTTCC